TTATGGGGTAAAAGAAGAGCAGTTCATGGTGAAGTCGTTCGAGCAGTCAACGGACGTGCTACTTTCAGGATAAGAGTAGTCATCTTGATTTTTTTGATGGATTGCTGGAGGAGCTCCTGGAACGGAAATGGGAAGCGTTTGCAAAACGAAGGTAAGAATTTGAACTTAATATACATACATATAATTATGCAACGAGCAGCAAAACTACACAGATTAGTGTGGAAATCATGCCCTAATCGCTAAACGATTGTAAATTGAAATGTTGTAACCCAACATTAAGGTGAACTGGCAAAGTGCCAAACATCTTTCATCTCGGAATATGTTTGAAAAAACTTTGTGCTTTGCATTCAGGATCCGGTTTATTAAAACCGGTTTCGATCCATATGAACCGCAAAGTCTTTCAGGCCATTTTTTCAAATGCAGGTGAAAGCTGAAGTTGACTAAGAAAAGTACATAGTTTAGTAATGAGCAAAGTGTCCGACTTTAGCTGTGCTTGGGCCCGAACTTGTAATTTCCGAGCATCCAACGATAGTATTGTAATAAGAGATGGTATGGCATTTCGGAAATTGCTCATCAGTGCTATTATGTAACAGCATCTCTTGAAAGGGCTCAGGACACAGGTGGTAAAGTGGCAAGTGGAGCACTATCACGAACGGCATGGTGACGGCTTCAAATCCCGGGTTAGTGGTACCAGACTTGTTTGGGAGGATGAAAGCACTGCCTTGCGCATTGTCTCACCTGTGCAAGTCACTGTATAGGCCACATACGCATCAATACGCAAGTTCGATTCCAAATGGAAGTTCAACGAGTAGGCGCATCTCTACGATGGGATCGATTGCCACCCCAATTTTTTGTCCTTTTCTCTCGAAATTCTCCGTGAAGGTAATTCTTTGCTGAGGACAGGTTTAAAAGCCTAATTAAAGAGTTAGCGCCACTATCCTATGAAAATATTCAAAACTAGTGGAGACCGGGAATCGTAAGTAGCATGTTGGAGAGCATAAGTTGACCTGTGAGCAGGCAAGTAGTAGTACGAATCCACAATTGTAGAAGAAATGCCTAACCGAAGGTGAAATACTTCATCGATTTTGGTTACACAGCCTTCTCGAAAGTAGGTCTTCGTAGCGTAACCCATCACTAATTTCGAGCAGCACTTATACGGTTCTACTGCTTCAACACAGATATCCAGTAAATGGTAATTTCAGGTTGTTTCAGTCACTTTTTGGTTATTTATGGTTTCTGCTGGTATTTTACATCGCCTTTGCGACACGCAACGTCACGGAATCGGTTTGTTTTCCAACAATAACGGTCTCTAGAGCATCAGCGATCTTTCAGCAGAATTAATCATCTCTCCACATAGAAAGAGCCCAGCAATTCCGCACTTGAGTATTTATCTTCCTTTTCTCTTTGGACAATTGAGTGCAGATTATCAGTGGCGAAATGTACAGCAACATGCTGACTATTAGGACAGACGTCTGTTTTGGCAGAATCACGAACTGCTTGGAAAGAAAAGACTGGACAAACATATAGGTTGGCGACCCAGAAATCATATAGACGTGACTTCTCATGATTATGCGCACCGCACATTCAGCCGGAAAGTCGGGAAAATCACCCTTCTCTTATAATAGGGCTGTTGCTCATGTTGTTGAGCAAGGGATTGGGCTTTTGAATGCAATTTGCACTCAAAAGTTAGTCCGGGAACGAAACATTTCTGAACACGCGATATTTCCCACGCGATTTAGAAAATGTATGATAGGTTACAACAGCTACAACCTCCTCAGCTCAGCAAAAGCCTCACGGTTGCTTCACCAAGAACCAGCTCTTTCCGTTCCTTACTGTTAACACTGTAGCTCTTACCGAAAAAGAACCGTGATGACCATTGACACCCGTTCTCGCAAAGCCTGCATTGCTAGAACCATACTGGATGAGAATGAGCTTCACAGGGATGTGGAGAATCTTGGCCTTCTCAGGAGCCAGGAGAGCATTTTATCAAACGTAGACTATCTGGAAAAATCATCCCCTAATTAGGATATAGGAGTTGGCACTGTATCCCTAATTCTGTAAAACTGATAACTTCCAATAACCTCCGATAGTTGTCGAAGGGCCTTGTTTTACACGCCCTTCGACAACTATCGCAAAAAATTAGTTTTTCAGAGAAGTCTCGAGCGCCTATTGCGAACTCTCCATGCTGTTTTTCACTGTAACAGCATTCCTTATAGCTTGTTTAAAGGCAGGGTTCATGATAATTTTGGGTAATCCAGATTATGACAAAAATGGCAGATAAAATGGAGAATAATGCGATGAAGGCGAAAATTTTGCGTGAATCGGTGTTCCCATAGTGAAAAAAGGTTTTGAAAAATCGCTAGAAAGGGGACTGGACGAGCGAATAACTGACTACGGAAGACAAAAGTCCATTCACTCCTAAGCAAAGCTAACAAAAAACCCTAGTAACAGCAAAAATAGCCCACCTTCTTCAACCTCTTGCGGTAGCGTATTAAATAAGGTACCGCAACAGCAAAAAGAATAACAGAGAACAAAAGTATAGGAGGAAATCATCGTCTCATTACTCGGCGACCAGCTGATTGTGTTTGGGTCCTAGAGCGAAAATTTGCAATGTGTATCGTCTCGACAATCGTGCCCTAACGTCGAAATTGGGAGCGACAGGGACCCTTTTACTACCCTTAGTATTCCTAAGGGAAGATCTCAGTAACCATTTCTATCGTGAATTGTGCCTTTGAGCATCTAAGGTTTTTCCAAGGGCAATACTAAGAGATGACTTCATCGCCAACTGGGTAGTTTTTTTCCAGGATATCACCGGGACCACCACATGGCCGACTGGGTTTTCATGGTCTGAAAAAGGAACGAGTTCTAGAAGCTCCTCTAGAACCATGGATAAGTCGTGCCATTTAAGTTGGATTTAGGCCTATATAGCGCTGCATTTTTTATCGTCGAAGAAAGTGCCCTGGCTTGCACAATTTGTTGTTTAGCCAATATGAAAACGAATAGCCGAGCTACGAAATTCAAAATGATAATGCTGGCGTAGGGTGTTCCATGAAGGGTCGTTTTTCACACTCACTTATGAAACTTTTTTTCTTCAGCTTCACCTGTATTTTATGGTACACTTTAAATTAAATTTTCGAATGCTCTTCACATCCATTTTGTAGTACGAGGAAGAAGGAGATAGTCTGCCTTTGAACATGACTGACTTCAACGACGTCATTATCACAGTGCAACATTTGTCACATTTTGAGAGTGGACGTAATGAGCCTCTGCAGAAACAGTGCCACCTATGGAATTACAATGGCGGCAAAAAACAAATGGTCTGAACCTTTCAGCCTTGACTCCAATTTCAGAAGTTTATGAATGTGTTTGAATTGACTGTTAATTAAGCTTCGCTTCTGCTGTGAGATCCTGACTCTGCTGGCAGTGCTAGTTCGAACAACCAAAGACATCGTGGACATGCAACAGATTGGAATGAAGCGTTGGTGGTTAGCCATGGTGAGATCACCTATTGAGCCGTGAACCCTAAGCCCTACTTGTTTGAAGCCTCGTTGAACCTTGTTTCCTTTCAGAGCGCCTTTCCTGAAAAGGTTCTGCACAAGGTTTCCCAGCTCACTCTGCTACTCATCGTTCCCATTCGTACGGCCTGCTTTCTGCATCCAGTGATGCTTCTACTTGAAAATGTTATGACAATTACCGTCGTTCTGATGACCACAATGCATTTCCTTTTCTATTGCCGGTAATGATCCAGAAAAAGCTTGATCTCTTGCATTTTCATCGTTCATCCGCATAGGGGCATGAAATTCGTCGGTCCTTTCGTGTTAATGGTCTACAAGATTATTGTTCGCGATATGCTGCGTTTTCTTCTCATCTATTCAGTATTCGTACTAGGATTTGCACAAGGTAAATGTTGTTTTCTGAAAACTGTTTTTTGAAGTTTTTTGAAAATATCGTAAACAACATTATTTCAGCGTTCTATGTGATATTCCATTCTTGCGAAATGGCTGAAAAGAACTATCAAGAAGNATATGCTGCGTTTTCTTCTCATCTATTCAGTATTCGTACTAGGATTTGCACAAGGTAAATGTTGTTTTCTGAAAACTGTTTTTTGAAGATTCCGTAAACAACATTATTTCAGCGTTCTATGTGATATTCCATTCTTGCGAAATGGCTGAAAAGAACTATCAAGAAGAACATGGCTTGCATCCAGACGACGATTACAGAGGAAAGTAAGTAACTGTTGGGTAATGAGAGAAAAGATGGACGTGAAGTAAATTGTACATGATAGGAGGAGGCTATGGAGCCCACGTAGAAGCGGAGTTGTGCTGTACAGAAATAGGTAAAAGACAACGAAACAATGAGATTGAGAGCAGGGAAGGAGTCACTGAGCCTGAAACATGAACAGTTCCACGAATGCTTACGAGTCTTTTCATGGATCCGGGAACTTCTCCCCTAACACGGCGTCGCACACGCCACACCCGCCGCCTATCGCAGGATTGCGATGGAAGATTGGAGCGCGCAATTTGTGAGGTAGGGAGTCCTTTAATTATTTAAATTGGCTGGCCGCTCTTTTCAATTCCAATGCGATCTTGGTCGTGGTTTATATAGGAGGAGTCATTTTAATTAATCAAGTCTAATAAACATGAAAACTAAAAAGAAACAGAAGAAAAAACGATAAAATCCAATGATAAAGCAAGTCAGTCAAGGAAAAATATCGCATCCTATCGATTGGCGGGAGGCGGGGTGAGTACGGTAATTGCAGTGGCATTTGCCGCATGCCGCAAGGGAGAATGCCGCGATAGGGGAGAAGTTCCGTTACCCGTCTTTTCATACTACGGGTTAACGAGCTCCGGAAGACGCATCTTTAGGGTTTACAACCTCTTGTGAAATGACTGAAAAAAATATAAACTCGAGATATGTGCCCACGATAGCATAATTATAGTAATCATAAAAAATGCAGTGAAAATGCAGGTCTATGAGGGAGCCTCTTATTTCATGTTGTTCATTATTGTGGGAGTCTCTCTCCTTTCCAAGCAGAGTACCGCTGCTTTCAGTAACAGGTCAACCGTAGGACAGGGCATCCCCGTAGGAAAACTGATCTTGCCCTTTCGGGGAGGATCTGTAGATGCATCTCGTCTGTAAGTGCTAAGAAATGACTGTGGCCTCTCTCTTCCCTTCCCCAATCGAACATCGAGGAGACTGTATGCGAATGTGTTGAATACACAGTTCCCTTTTTCTTTTCGAGGAGGCATATAACCCTTAAAGAGGGAAGCAGCGATCATATTGGTTCAGGAGTCTTGTACAAAGACGGTTCTGGTCGAGCCGTCCAGGGACATCATCAAGAGAGATGAAGCTAGAAGTACAGAAGGAGATGAAATTATAAAGCAGCTTCACACTTTATATTGTATCAACATAGCAAGGAAGTGTGTTATATCCATTCCCAAGTTTCTCAACAGGTTTCCCAGAAAGCGTGCATTCCTCTAAGTATTATGTGGAGGAAACTCCCATCTACCAATTCCCATTGTCCAATTTTCATACCTCTAAAAAATTAATGCTCTCACTGTATGTAGAACAGAAGAGTGAAAAAATCATGGGCACGACATGGGCTGACATTATGGGCATGCGCAGTAACCCCTCCCAAACACCATGCCCGTCCACACTAATCATGTAGGTAGATACCGTATGTATCCAGAACGGAACAAAACCAGCTTCCGTAAATACGATATGCACAGTCCTTCTCAGTCTCCCAAGGGAACCATACGAACTAATTTCTAACCCCTTTAAAGACACTGTTAGCAAGGAAGTGAGATGCGACAGAAAAAACTAAAAATGAAGAGTTAAGAGTGAGAAGCGTTTATAGTTCATCCATTCTCCAGCAACTCTACACCTTCAGATTTGAAAATATAATGAACTCGCCACGTGAAGCTTTGATGAGGATGATCATTATGAGTGTTGGCGAATTTGGCGCATTCTACAAGAATCTCAATGACTGCAAAAGCCGTGTGGCCCTTCAGGGCAAGGTGTAGTCACATTGCTCATATCTGCTATTTCCAAGCTTCTCAGGCTACACAAGTCGCTGCATTCAGGTATTTTTCTCTATTTACGAGCTTCTGGTGACTTTGATGTTACTGAACTTGCTGATAGCTATGATGACCAGAACATACGAGAAGATAGCCGAAACAGAAAAGGAATGGAAACGACAGGTACTCACTATTTCTGGGTGTAGCGCAGATGAATCGCAATAGCCGCTTCGCGGCAAGAGCGACGTCGCACAAAGGAATGTAGCAGAATGAAGCAGAAGCGGCGCAGCGAGAAAGGAAAAACCTTGAATGCGACTGTAAATGAAAGTGGAACCAAGAGACATTCAACAAACGCGATTATTATCAAAGACTCCTTTGATGACAGACCGAAAGTAAAGCAACTAGAAGTTTATGTACGGGCGTAGCCTCCATATGCGAGCAAAGGATGATTTTTGTTGAGCTCCAAATTTTATAACCGCTCTATATATGAAGCGCTGACTTTGAGTGTTCGTTTGGGGAGACGGAACATTGCCCGCTTGGAGACGCAAGCGGCAAATTTTGCGTCGAAGTTCGCGGTGATTTGAACGACTTAAGCGCCTATCGTTGAGGCACAATTTTAAAGTAGAGCAAATTAGTGGGATTATGTGATTCTCCTCCAGATTAATCTACTACTTCAAACATGCGGCCCAAGATAGCTGCCAGAGTCATCCAAATCGCCACGAATTGCGCCCGCAACCTGCTGCGCGCGTCTACAAGCGCGCGAACGTTCCCACACCCGTCTGGTTGTATGTCGGCCTGAGTGTCTGTCCGCAAAAAGTCACGTGGCCGCATTGTTAACATGGGTAGAAAGTCTACTTATACTGTTTATCTCGATCCNNNNATAAAATAATGATCGCATATCGATTGAGCTGTATGAAGAACGCTAGAGCTGTCATAACAGCGAATGAGTGGTCCGCGACAGCCGCGTGCGGCAAATCGATTACCCAAAATCGTTCCTACCGCGGGTCTCCCGATCTCCCTAACCAATTCCAGTACATGGGAATGTTTCTGCGTTCTTCTCGTATAAGCATTTTTGGGGGACCGGCAGCAGGAACGGTTCTGTGTAGCCGATCCGCCGCGCGCGGCTGTCGCGGAACATTTGCCTCATTATACCAGTTCTAGCGTTCTTCATACAGCTCAATCGCTATGCGATTATTACTTTTGACATGGTTCTACTGGTAGTTCTTTTGTTCCTGCATTTCTGACTCGCTGCTATATTCTGCTACATTCCTTCAAGCGGGACGAAACTCTCGCAGCAGTGCCCAGCTCAACTGGTTATGATGAAGGAGGAACCTGATTGTGAGAACTTATCAAAATACTACCCTATTCCGGGCATGGACTCCCACGAAGATCAAACTTCAGATTGATTTTTTTTGCTTTTTTTGATTTGTTAATTCGATGAAAGTAAATTCGCACATGTTCCAGTGGGCGCAGGTGATTCTCATGTTGGAGCAATCATTGACAAATGCCGAGCGTACAATGGCTATATACAGTTACTCACGACCGCTTCGCAGTGACAAATCTCGTCGAGCATTTGTTGTACGACTCAAATCTGACGTTAGTGCACCTTTCCAAAGGTTCAAATCTATACGAAACCGACTCACCTCATGGCTATACTTTTGATCTCCTTTTTTCCTGCTATCAGCTTTCCCAGGATCCAGAGAGAAATTAAATGTTTGTTTGGGAAGATGATGAGAGCATTGTTTTCTTCAATGATTACACAAAACAATGAAAAGCCGTGATTCTCGACAACCAGGGCTGTATGACTACAATCTTTCGGGACTTCACTTGTAATGAGGGATGCGTGGAAATCCTTTCATAAAACCAGGTTGATGCGAAAGCCTTTGAGCAGAATTAATCTGAACTGTCGTTTCTCTGTTGAAACCTTTGCCGTTCTCAGACCATCGCCACATTCCAGAAATTTCAGAATTACAACCAGTAATATTCTTATAAGTCCCGAGAGTCAATAGTTTGCTCGTTTCTATTCTGAAGACACCACGCTCAATGATGGTCCTCGTTCGGATGGCCAGCTGCAGTTGCTGATGACCGATTTCTCAGCGATGTGAAGAGGGCGCAGATTACGAGCAAGGGATTGGCTAAGGAAGCTTCCCGAATACGATCAGAGCATCTCCTTGAAGCGGTTGCAGGAAAGTTTTGCCTAATGAATTCTGGATTTCAATCAGAAAGTCACTCCTTGTCATCTCCAGTCTGATAGAGTTTCTGCACGATCCGGTGACGGAAGATGTTCAGTTAGCTCTTCTGTTTACTGTATTGAATGTAAAAGGTGTTCTATAGTTATGGCCAGTGCCAGACATATCTGCACTACGTCGCAATCACTTCTAGCAGTAGAAAAGCACAGTTCACGATAACCCACCAGTTTTCAACAATTATTAGAATTAACGGTCCAAAACCGGTCGGGGAATGTAACAAAAAACTTGCATAGAAGGGGTATTTGGTGTCTTTGGGTACAGCTAACTAAAGTAAGGCAAAAATGTTCAAAAATGTTTTCCAACCAGCTGACGACGCTGACATAGGTGGTTTCATTCTGCTCCGCTCTCTTATTTACTGCTACTCTAACAGAACAGGTATTCAACAATATTATTCACAAGGAGCAGCAGTGGAGTGAGGAATGGTCCAAAGTGAACCAACTTACGCCGACGATCAGCTGATTGACTTTTCACTAACGTTGCCTAATGCGAACAGTGTGGTGCTCGGGAAATTTGATTTCACATCCCAACGGGGGTAGGGGGCAGGTATGGTAAGGGAGCTCCGAAGTAATGCTACGAAGAAATCTCAGGGACCATTTTAATCGTGAAGTGTATCTTTAAACTGCACGATTAGTCGCAATGTCAGAGTCATTAATGCCTGGCTTTCGTAAACAGGGCAGTCTCGAGATCTCAAATTTGCGCATTGGCTAATGATCGCATTAATTCGCTCTGAGTTGCAGAAAAAAGACGAATCTCCGCAAGAAGTCGAGTTCATACGCAAAAGGCACAGTATTCGATTGTCATTCAGCCACATTCAGGCTCCCATCGTTAATCACCGTGACAGCAGTGCGATTTGATTTTCATAACAATCCATCTTTTTTTTGCATAAAGTGTTGTCAAAAGGAAGTTTCAATGTCTTCGCTCATTGCCATTCACAAAGTTCAGCCGTGATAGGACGATCGTAAAGATCGTAAAACAAGAGCCTGTAAACTTCACTATCTAAAATTGGATTAACACCTGATAGTCCTCTTGAGCACCATGGCTTTGTGCTTGAATTGGGGAGTTGGATGTCCATCTCCTTGTCTCCACAAAGACCTACTAAAAATAGTGTAGTGGGTTTGGGTCACAAAAGGTCTCAGTGAGTTTACAAAGGAAATCGCGTCTTTCACGGGGAACGCGTCCTCGTATACTTGAAATATTTAAGGAAACCCAACCCCGATACGGTTTCGCTAAATAAGCCAAGGAAGTGGCTCTGTCGACAGAAGGGAAATGTCAAGTTTNATCCATCTTTTTTTTGCATAAAGTGTTGTCAAAAGGAAATTTCATAACTTCGCTCATTGCCATTCACAAAGTTCAGCCGTGATAGGACGATCGTAAAGATCGTAAAACAAGAGCCTGTAAACTTCACTATCTAAAATTGGATTAACACCTGATAGTCCTCTTGAGCACCATGGCTTTGTGCTTGAATTGGGGAGTTGGATGTCCATCTCCTTGTCTCCACAAAGACCTACTAAAAATAGTGTAGTGGGTTTGGGTCACAAAAGGTCTCAGTGAGTTTACAAAGGAAATCGCGTCTTTCACGGGGAACGCGTCCTCGTATACTTGAAATATTTAAGGAAACCCAACCCCGATACGGTTTCGCTAAATAAGCCAAGGAAGTGGCTCTGTCGACAGAAGGGAAATGTCAAGTTTGCTGGGGGGGGGGGGGGGGNACCCACGAACCAATCCGCTTTGCTTAAAATGTTCTTATGGCCTGTTGCTTCTAAGTCATTGATTTAGATCAAGCTGTGATGTTCCTAGTAGCCTGCATACTCGTGGAGCAGTGTCTAACAGCGTCATTGCCTCTTGAGAAAGTGGGAGTGGTGGTATGCTAAGCCCGAAAATCCTGCCTACGTCGAAGAAAAAATTGAAGTCAAAAACAGTGAATACACAATAGGTAGACCTCATTTTCCTTCACAAAACTGCCTGTGTGAGACAACATTTGCACGATGTTCACCACATTGCTAACCTTACTTCTCAAAGTCCCGGCATCTTAGAAATCACCAAATGCATGCGGATTGTGGAGCAAATCAATGTCCACATGGAACCAGTCCTCTGGAACTGTTCGAAAGTAGTATATCTTCGTTCTATTGAATGATACCTCGAAGTCAATATATTAAAACATACTCAAAGGTCCAGTTCACCTTAGAAATTGTTTCTGAGATTTACCCATATGATGAACTCACATATTGCATGCAGGCAGCTCACTGCAGCTAGGGGTGTGCGCATTAGGATCGAAATTGTCGCGCCGCGGAGAAAGGGACTTCGCGCACGAAGAAATGCAGCAGCAGTTAAGAAAGGCAGGAACAAAGGAACTAACAGTAGAATCATGGCTAAAATAATGATCGCATATCGATTTAGCTGTATAAAGAATGTTAGAGCTGTAATAACGGTGAAGCAAATGGTTCGCGACAGCCGCGTGCGGCGAATCGACTACACAAAACCGACCCTACTGCCTATCTCCACTGCAGCCAGCTGTATAAAATGGTCCACCCACTTGAACAGCTCGTCCTAATGCCCCTTCCATGCAACTTCTGCACATCTTCGTCCGACTCTAATTTTACCCTTTTTTGAAGTCTTCTACTACACTAAACATGCAGTTTTTTGCATTTTCTCGGCCACTTTTGCACTATTCTAGAGTATCACTTTCGTTATTCGACTTAAACTAAATACACCAAAATTGTCGAGAGCTGTGCCTTTGGGAGAGCATCAAAGACGTACTGGATCTTGACGACAGATTGATTGCTCTTATTCAAAGCAAAAACACTTCGAGATTTCCATCAAGGTGTTATATTAAAAATGTTTATTCAAAACATAGCTGATATCTGAACTCATCTACAATGCCTATATGAATAAAATCAAGTGAACATGTCGAATGTTAACAATAAAAGTATTCCCGCTAAAATCGAAAACTCACACGTACACCGTGTAGCTCAAATCGCTACAGCCTTATATCTATAGATCCCAGACAATCTCCCAAGCACCTTGGAATAGACTCGAGAGAAGCAGATCAGTGGTGGAACAGCCGAAGACCCGTGTGGATGAGGGTAATGCCATATTCATCGCAGGCTTCGACAATGTCCTCGTCCCGCACAGAGCCTCCCGGATGAGCAACATACGTTACTCCATACTAAAATTCTCTCAAATAGTTGGGCAACTCGTGAATACGCCAAAATCCTACCTGCTTGGCACAGTCGATGTTATCTCTGAATGGAAGGAATGCATCTGAGCTCATGACCACCCCCGTTTGCTTCGCCATCCACTCTGTCCGATCTTCCTAGAAGATGACACATTTTGCTTCCCATTCCTGCACTTGAATCAGATGAGCAATCATTCATAGCAGCTCAAGTTCCGACTCTATTTGCGTCATCGATGTTTTTAAACGTCAAAGAGAGCTCCCACTCATGATGGATGAACTCAGACGACGTGTCCCAGTAACGCTCAATGATGTGCAACCAGATTAGAGCAGCCGTATTTAGCTGGGGCTGGACGGGTCGAGCATCAAAAATCAACATCATACAAATGCTCAGAATAGCGATGAGGGCAGAAAACGTACCGGAGTCAGAGGGTTGACAGGCTCCGTGAAATATTGCTGCCATTGGTCCATGCTCACCTATAAGTAAAATTCTCATTCATTTATTCGAGAAGATTATGCTTCTACTTGAATAGCTCACTTGCATGGAATGAGCCGAGGGTCACATTATACTTCGCGCACGGTTAGCCAGAACTACTGCTCCGGTATCAGCCAATGGGACTGGTCTTTAGACATTCCCACAGGCAGAAGTGGAAGACGGCTCGACTCTACGACGCGTTGTCATCACTACCTAACCAATTTCAACCTACATATGATCAGGAGACCGAAAGAAAGTAGCATTTCCAACTAGGTTTTTTTTTTACGATACCATGACATAAGCACGCCGTAACCCCCATCACCGAACTAGGTCAGCGACATGATATAGCCTACATAGTATGCTACAGAATTATTACCTCTACCATACTTTCTGTAAATAGCCCGGCACTACCAGTTGTGTTAATTCCAGCTGCTTTGAACGAGAACCTAACAGTTAGAACATGGGCCTGGTGGCATGGTGAGGTAACATTGTACAGCATGATAAAAAAAAAGCGGAACGAGTCAGTAAATGCTCCCATTTTTTCTCAATTGTTGACCACCATGATAATTCCCACTTATGTGCTCTCTTCTTTACCATTCATTATCGCAAGGCGCTTCTCAAGGTATGCTGCTATTTATTGTTGATTGGGCTTCCAGCTAAAACATGGCAAGACATCCTACCCAGACGGCTGCAGGGATTTGACTGTTCTATGTACAAGTTGCCAGCAACAGACCGTCGTCTCTCTATGGCAAAGCAAACAATAAACAACGACAAAGGGGAAGAATGCTGAGACCAATAAATAAAGAAAATACCAAATTTGGGCCATGCCATTCTTTAAGTTCAGGTGCATAAATTCCTACAGTTCCAGCACGACAGGAGGACTGAATGAGTCGGCCAAGAAAATTATCTATGATGCCGTGAAGTAAGCCTCTCTCAAGAGATCGTTATCAAATGCATTGAAATATTTCGAAAACCTTTTTGAGTATATTTACAGGGAAGCAACTAGTAAATTAGATTCGCGATAGGTATGCAAGAGCTGCCTGCTTTTTTTCAAACAGTTCTAATGTCACTTTAGAATCCAAGCAACAAACACTACAGCACTCGCATGAACCAGAACCCTGCAAAAGGCTTGATTTCGAACAATGGGCTTTGCAAGAGATGAGAGAACAGGGAGGTTCCTCAAGANGGCTAAGATTATTGGCCAATAGCTGCATCTTTCTGAATAAATGTATTCTATAAGTTGTCTATTTATAGGCTATAATCTGCGGATGCCTCGAAAATCTATAATAATTTGGGAAATAAGGGACCTTCAGGGCTACTCAAGTCAGCAATGAAGGGGAAAAACCGATCCCGCTTCCCCCTTCTTGTGCTTTAGTAACAAGCCTAAATAGCGAAATCATACACAATATGAGAACTACAAATCAAGGTACATTACTAGATTCTGTTGGAGCGACTGAACCTTAACTGGAATTATTCCATTCGCTAAACGTAATAGCTTCAGCGAACGGTAAAAAGCAGATTCGCTCACATGCGTCTGAGAAATAGATCCCACCATCAAACTCCTAGTCAAATTTGAACAAGCAAGGTTACGACCACGTCACCGCAGGATATACATAGTTTACTGAGAAGTTATGAACTCTTTGTCTGGCCTCTTGTTTTGATTGACCACTATGACCGGTCGAAGCGGAGTCAAGTTTGGGCGATAATCGGTGCGAGCTCAACTTTTGACTGGTTGAGACTTCGACCGGTGGAATAATTTCCTTTTAACCGCAAATTGATATGGAAGCAGCCTGCTGACCATTCGACTACATGCATATGTGGTGGCACGTGCCAAATAGTAATTTTCTGTTTTCTCTTTAGCCAGGGAGAATGAGCCTGCAAGATTTTCTTCAACCGACTATCTTCTTATGAAATGAGTTGCACATGAGCGATTTCACCTCTTTCCTTTCAGAAGAGATCACCCCGAATTTCAGTTTCAGAACCTCTTCGCCCTTGGTTATAGTTCTTTCTCTCTCTCTCTTATTTCTTTCGGTACACACCCTAAGCTTGGATAACACCAACACAAGTACTCCTGGACCTGAACGGCAAACAGGCTCAATAGTACGCACAGCTAAAAGCCCAGAAACCAACTAAATCGAAACTTCTGACAAACCTCATCACCCAAAACGCCTGAGCACAGTACATCAATGGCATTCGATCGTTCAGCCCTACGAACAGACGGCTTCCACGGGAGAGCGAGAACCACTGGATGTTGCCGGAGCCACCTGAATACGGCGACATGAAGGTTTACCAAAGAAAAAATTGAATTAATTCTTTTCACTCCCTTATACCAAATGGGCCGTCTTTTTCGGGACTTTCTGAATTCAATCACATTGAAAAAAATTTCAAAATCATAGCAAATTTGGAAAACTGTAAATGCAATCATCCTTTTCGACGCCAACGCGATATTCAGGACCTTACTATTCCATGGTCACTTAAATCAGTTGCCATAAATCGTACGGAAATCGCCGATGTGTCAACTCGCTCGTTCGTTCCAATCACTACTGATAAGAAGGTATTTGGTTTCAGCATGACGTTACCGTTGCAGGCTCGAAGTAATGCGTTGTTTTACTGCTCAAAGTGCCATGCACTTGCCTTATCCAGTAAGTGCAGTATGTTTTGGCCTAAATCGGGCCCGCTTTTAGCTATTGACGTCAGAGCCGTTAGGTGAATTGATGGTTTTCGTCATCATCCACGATTGAGTCTTCTACCGTGGGCGTGGTCTGGACAGCGTCCATCTGGCCAGGGTGCGGTCTTTGAATGCCCAAACCTGGTCATGGATCCATTCAGTTCTTGCCCCTATTTCCTGTCTCATAACTTACTCTAAGTGGTAGTATCACCCAATTTGTTTTCACTGTACACTGATGTTTCTCGACTGGTAATCAGGGGTAAATCGATATTAAAACACAATTTCTCGTTCCAGTCATATTCCGTTGCCCATTGGACTAGACACCGTCCGAATCATCTTGCGGCTATCCTATGCCAATGTTTCCTCCATGAGTTAGCTGGAAATGTTCGCTGAAATCGCCGTATTTGCAATTATTGGAGTCAGCCACTCCCTGCTCATGTTTGACAGAGGTTCGCGATGCCATTTCTCTTGTTCAACGCCTGTA